TGATGTTTCACTCTCTCTCTCTCTCTCCCTCTCTCCCCCTTCCTGTCTGAAATCAATAAAAAAAATTTTTTTTTAAATTATTGAAAATAAAATTTCAGTGGCCATAAATAAAGTTTTATTGGAGCAAAAGCATGCTTATTCATTTGGTAAGAAAGCATCGTCTATGGCTGCTTTCATGCCAACAGGAGAATTGAGTAGTTACAACAGAGGCCATATGACCTACAAACCCAAAATATTTACTATCTGGTTCTTTGCAGAAAAAGCTTATCAGCCCCTGCTATATAGCAACAGAAGGAAAAAATTACAACCATATGCAACATTATGTACAACGAAATAAGCCCGGCCCTGGCCAGGTGCTCAGTGGTTAGAGCACTGACCTGCGGACAGAAGGGTCTTGGGTTTGTTTCCCAGTCAAGGACACGTACCTCGGTTGCAGGTTCCCCAACCCCAGTAGGGGCATGTGTGAGGGGCAACCAATTGATGTGTCTCTCTCACCTCTCTTTCACTCCCCCCCTCCCTTCCACTCTTTCTAGAAATCAATGGGAAAAATATCCTCAGTTGAGGATTTAAAAAAAAATTTTTTTAAATAAGAGAAGCCCAGTTGGTGTGGGTCAGTGGTTGAGAGTCAATCCAGGAACCAAGAGTTGCTGATTCGATTCCTGGTCAGGGCACATGCCCGATTTCGGACTTGATCCCCAGTAAGGGGCATGCAGGAGGCAGCCGATCGATGGTGTTTCTCTCTCATAGATGTTTCTATCACTCTACCCTCTCCCTTCCGCTCTCTCTAAAAGTCAGTAAAAATATATTTAAAAAAAAATAAGAAGAACAAGAAAAAAGCCAGGCACAAAAGAGTACACGCTGTGTGATTCCTGGCTATAAGGTCCAGAATAAGCAGAACTAACCTAAGATTAAGACAGAAGAATGATCCCGTGGTGAGGTGTCAATGGCCAGAAAGAGCAACAAGGAAGCCGTCTGTGAGTTGGGCCTGTTTTATATCTGACTCTGGGCGGTGGATACTCAAGTGTAAACATGTAAAAATTTACCAAGCTGCACATGTGCACTTTGTACTATATTATATGTATGTTACAACTCAATTCTAAAAAGTGGGTGGAGCCCTGCCCGGTTTGGCTCAGTGGACAGAGCATCGGCCTGCAGACCAAAGGGTCCCGGGTTCGATTCCGGTCAAGAGCACATACCTTGGTTGCAGGCTCCTCCTCAGTCCAGGTCCTGGTGAAGGCTTGGGCAGGAGGTAACCAATCGATGTGTTTCTCTCACATCGATGTTTCTCTCTATCTTTCCCTCTCTCTTACACTCTCTCTAAAAAGCAATGGAAAAATATCCTGGGGTGAGGAAATAAATAAACAAACAAACAAACAAACAAATAGTGGAGGGGATTGGATAGCCCTAGCCAGTTTGTTGGCTCAGTGGGAGGAGCATCGGCCCTCGGACTGAAGGGTCTCAGTTCCTATTCCAGTCAAGGGCACATAAATCAGTTGCAGGCTCATCCTGGCCTCAGTCAGGGCACATGCAAGAGGCAGCCAATCAATGTGTCTCTCTCACATCGATGTTTCTCTCTCTGTGTCTCTTCCCCTCCCTTCCACTCTGTCTAAAAATCAATGGAAAAAAATATCATCCGGTGAGGATTAACAACAACAAAAACAAAAGTGGGGGGAGGAAAAATAAGGGAGAGAAAAAAATTGTGCCCGTCTCTAAAGGTGTATAAAGAACTCAGGTGAAAACCAAACAAAATGCTCAATATTCATAATGACAGATAGTAACAGGTGTTGACAAGGATATGGAGGGCGGGAACCCTCATCCACTGCTGGTGGGAACATAAAATGGTGCAGCCATTTTGGATAACAGTCTGGCATTTCCTCAAACTGTTAAACATAGTGTTAGCATATGAGGCAGCAATTTTACCCTACGCATATACCCAAAGAAAACGAAAGCACCTGTCCACACAAAAACTTGTACATGATTATTCATAGCAGCATTACTCAAAATAGCCAAAAAATGGAAACAACTCAAATGTCTATCAACTAATAAACTGATGTATAAAATGTAGTATATCCAAACAATGGAATATTAGATAACAATAAAAAGAAGCCCTATGCCCTAGCTCAGTGGTCAGCAAACTCATTAGTCAACAGAGCCAAATATCAACAATACAACGATTGAAATTTCTTTTGAGAGCCAAATTTTTTAAACTTAAACTATATAGGTAGGTACATTGTTATTAACTTAATTAGGGTACTCCTAAGGCTTAGGAAGAGCCACACTCAAGGGGCCAAAGGGCTGCCTGTGGCTCGCAAGCCGCAGTTTGCCGACCACTGCCCTAGCTGGTTTGGCTAAGAGGATAGAGCAGTGGTTCTCAACCTTCCCAATGCTGCGACCCTTTAATACAGTTCCTCATGTTGTGGTGACCCCCAACCATAAAATTATTTCGTTGCTACTTCATATCTGTAATTTTGCTACTGTTATGAATCATAATGTAAATATCTGATATGCAGGATGTATTTTTATTGTTACAAATTGAACATAATTAAAGCATAGTCTTTCCTCTCTGAAATCAATAAAAATATATTTAAAAAGAAGAAGAAGAAGAAGAAGAAGAAGAAGAAGAAGAAGAAGAAGCCGCCGCCGCCCTGGCTGGTTTGGCTCAGTGGATAGAGCGTTGGCCTGTGAACTGAAGGGTCCCAGGTTTGATTCTGGTCAAGGGCACATACCCAGGTTGCAGGCTCAACCTGGTCAGGGTAGGTGCAGGAGGCAACCAATCGATGTGTCTCTCTCACATTGATGTTTCTTTGTCTGTGTCTCTCCCCCTTCTTCCACTCTCTCTAAAAATCAGTGGGAAAACATCCTTGGTGAAAAGAAAGGAAAGGAAAGAAAGAAAAGAAAAGAAAGAAAGAAAGAAAGAGAGAGAGAGAGAGAGAGAGAGAGAGAGAGAGAGAGAGAGAGAAAGGAAAGAAGGAAGGAAGGAAGGAAGGAAGGAAGGAAGGAAGGAAGGAAGGAAGGAAGGAAGGGGCCCTGGCTGGTGTGACTGAGTTGGTTGGAGCGTCACTCTGTGCACCCAAAGGCTGCAGGTTCAATCCCGGGTCGGGGCAAGTATGGAAGGCAACAAATTGATGTTCTCTCTCACATCAATGTTTCTCTCTCTCTCTCTCTCTCTCTCAAATCAATAAGCATATCCTCAAGTGAGGATTAAAAAAAAAGAAATGAAACACTGATATATGCTACAACATGTTTTTTTTCTGTCTGTTAATCCTCATCCGAGGACATGCTTTTATTGATTTTTAGAGAGAAAGGAAGGGAGAGGGGAGAGGGGAGAGAAAGTGAGAAACATCGATCTGTTGCCTCCTGTACATGCCCCTATCTGGGATCAAACTCAAAACCTGGGCATTGCCCTGACCAGGAATCCAGACCTGGACCATTTCCATGCACAGGAAGAATTCAACCCACTGAACCACCTGGCCAGGGCTAGGCTACCACATGGATGAACCTGAAAAACATTATGATCCGGGACAGAAGCCAGTCACTTAAGGCCACATATTGTCTGATTCCATTTCTACAAAATGTCCAGAATAGTCAAATATATAGACAGAAAGTAGATGTGTGGTTGCTTAATTAAGGCTGTAGGGATGAAAGGGGGCGGGGCTGAGATGACAGCTAAGAGGTATGGGATTTTTTTTTTTTGAATGTTGAAATATTCAAAAATCAATTGTGGTGGCGTTTGCACAACTCTGTGATTATACTAAGTCATTGAACTGTACACTTTTAATGGGTGAATTGGATGATTGATGAATTAAGTCAGTAAAGCTGTTTAAAACAACAAACACTGAAGCTAAATCTACCTGGCTAAACCCTTCAACGTTCATTCATTGAAAACATCATTCACTTAATTTAACAACGGGCTGATCTTGACACAAAATCTGACCATTTCTCACTCCTCTAAGACTTCTCAACCCAAGAAATGCACTTCAGCACCTGGCTATTGTATACAGAGTACATACATGTACAATGCGTTTTGTTTACCTGCTTTTGGAAAAAGGCTTGAAATAAAGAGGCTGTAACCATTATAGCTAAATCTTCTGATTCCACTCATTTCTGCTTAATGCTCTGACTCAAACTATCTCCATTTAGCAAAATCCCCTAATCTGAAGACTGATTCCTCACCCTGTCACCTGACATTCTGTCCCCAGGGTCAGCCAAATTCTCTATATCTTTTCTGATCAGAAAAAAAGCCCTGCCAGTTCTCTGAGGACAACTCCCCCAGCACCCTCCCACCCTCCGCATTAACCCTGGGTTGCCCTTCTGGCCAGAAACCTGCTGAGGGTGCCTGTGTGAAGAAAGGAGAGGCAGGAAGGAGCCTTTAGAGATCATTCTGGTGTGAAGCAATAGCAGGGCTGGGGCCAAGCAGACAATGCCTGGGGCACAACATTTAAGAAGGCAATGACTCTTTAAAAAAAATTATTAATTTGAGAGAGAGAGAGAAATGGATGTGTTGATCCACTTGTACATGCATTCACTGATTGACTCTTGTATGTGCCCTGACCTGGGACGGAGGACGCTCTCACCCACTGAGCCACCCTGCCAGGGCCCAGGTGCTGACCGTGAAAGTGAGCGCCTCCTTAAACGTTGCACCCTAGGCCCTCGCTGGCCTCACCCTCGTCCTGAGCAACAGGATGCTACTTCCTCCAACAGTGGCTCTCAGAAGACAGGCCTGGGGCTCTCGCTCAGCCCTGGTCTTGGCATTCCAGCCCCCCAATCAGCTTTTATGGAGATGCCAGGCCAAAGGAGTTGCCCCAACGCTGCAGGAAACTCCCTAAGTGCTGTTGATTTAAAGGGCTCGGCCAGGACACACCTACCCAGAGCCAGTGGCCCGCCGGCTCCCAGAGGCGAAACTCGGGCGGGAGGGGGGTGGTCAGGAACCCAGGCCCCGCGCCCCTGCAGCCCAAAGAGTCCAGACCACCACCCTCTCGCGGACCCGGCCTCCAACTCACGAAGCGCCCGAAGTGGATGGACTGTCCGTCCTCTATGTGCAGGTCCGCCTGGGCCCCGCTGCGGCGGGAGATGACGGACTGGCAGCCGGGGAGCAGGGAGCGGAGCAGCCCCGAGCCCGTGATGTGGTCGGCGTGGCAGTGGGTGTTCACTGGAGGGAGGCAGAGGCGCAGGTCCA